CGGGACGTGGCTTCCCGGAGGGCCTCGGCGTGAGTGGCACCCCGTAACGGCTGCCCTCGGCCTGTGTCTCTGCAGTACCGCGAGGCCCTGCAGCTATGTGTCGAGCAGAACATGACCATCACAGAGGAGATGGCTGAGAGCATGACCGTGTCCAAGGGCTCCCAGGACCTGCCCGAGGAGACCCGGCGCGAGCTGCTGGAGCAGATCGCAGACTGCTGCATGCGCCAGGGCAGCTACCACCTGGCCACCAAGAAGTACACACAGGCAGGCCACAAGCTGAAGGTGAGCCCTGCCCCTGTGGCGCCAGGCGCCTGCCCACCCTCTCCCCACAGAGGGCCTGGGAGGGCCTGGCTCCACATCAGGCCTCGCCCGGGGGGCGCAAAGGGAAGCGGCTCCCGGGTTTGCCGGGCACCCACCATGCCCGGCTCGCCCAGGCCATGAGGGCGCTGCTCAAGTCGGGAGACACGGAGAAGATCGTGTTCTTCGCGGGCGTCTCGAGGCAGAAGGAGATCTACGTCATGGCTGCCAACTACCTGCAGTCCCTGGACTGGCGCAAGGAGCCCGAGATCATGAAGAGCATCATCAGCTTCTACACCAAGGGGCGGGCCCTGGGCCTCCTGGCCGGCTTCTACGACGCCTGCGCCCAGGTACCTCTGCCTCCCATCCCCGGGGGGCCGGCTGCGGCGGCCGCTGGCCCTGACACCCACATGGTGCAGGTGGAGATCGATGAGTACCAGAACTACGACAAGGCCCACGGGGCCCTGACCGAGGCCTACAAGTGCCTGTCCAAGGCTAAAGCCAAGAGCCCCCTGGACCACGAGGCCAAGCTGGCACAGCTGCAGAGCAAGATGGCGCTGGTGAAGAGGTTCATCCAGGCCCGCAGGTGAGCTGCATGGGGCCTCTGCACTGGCTGGCCGTGCTGAGCGCCAGGCCTGCGGCCAGGAGGGCCCTGGTTTTCACGTGCCCCTCCTCGTCTCTTCTGGCAGATGACACCCCACTCCCACCCCCATCCAAGAGCGACAGGGTCGACACAGCGCCAGCTCGGGCTGTGGCCCTGAGGCTCAGCTGCCCTCACGGCCACAGCGCTTTTCTTACCTGGGAACAGGTTTTCGGCAGATTTCCAAAGCACTCAGGGGCACTGTGCAAAAGGGGCTCCAGGGGACACAACTGAGGGGTTCTGGGCTGTCTGTGTCTAAGAGCTGGGCAGGATGGAGGGGTGTGGGCGACTGCCCAGGTCAGCTGTCTGCCGGGGCCCCAAGCCAGCACATGGCAGGTGGGCCCTGGCGCCCTCAGCCTGAGCCATCCGGCCTCGACAGGTCACATCCGCACCTCGCCCCCAGGCACGCATACCATCTGTGCTGGGCCCTCCCCTGCTCTTCCTGGCCCATGGCAGGCCTGGTGTGGCCTGGGGCAGGAAGCCGGGGGTGCACACAGGCGCTGCAGTCGGTCAGGAGTGGAGCTGCCAGGGGAGGAGGGCCAGTCGGCCCGGCCCACAGAAGCGGCTGTGCATGGCCGTCCCTGTGCTCATGTGTGAGACCCTGCTCCGGCCAGTGGGGAGGGCGCCTGCAGGATGGTCAGCACCGCAGGCCCCCCCGAGCCCAGCGGGTATCTGAGGGGCACACAGCGGAGGCCAGCCTGCTCCGCCCTCCACGCGAGACCACACCCAGATGTGGCCCTTGCACTCCAGTGGGCTCTGCTCGGCTTGGTCCCTGCCTGGTGTCCTCCATCACCCCACCTCTCGGTGTTCCCTCGGTCACGTACAGTGGATGCCGCTCTGCACCTCCCCAGAGCGGCCCCCCCCACGACTAGAGCGGGTTCACTGCCAGTGGATGCCTCTCGCCCCCCCCCCAGGCCGGCCCCCCACAGGACTAGAGCGTGTTCTGACCCGACACGGCAGCATGTGCTCTGAGGCCCGGGGCTCAGGCCTCGTCACTGCTCTCGGCAGGACCTACACGGAGGACCCGCAGGAGTCTGTCAGGCAGTGCCAGCTGCTCCTGGAGGAGCCGGACCTGGACGGCACCGTGCGCAGCGGGGATGTCTTCAGCCTCGTGGTGGAGCACTACCTTCAGGCGGGGGAGTTCCAGACGGTGAGCCGGGCCGCGCCCCAGACCCCCCGTGGGGAGCAGGGCCTCTCACCCCGAAGTCACAGGCTTAGTGTTCCCTTTTAAGAAAGTGTTCCCTGGGCTGGCAGGCGGCATGGAGGCTAAGATGCTGGATCCCATAAAGCCGACTGCGTGGTTCAAGTCCTGGACTCAGTACCAGGTGCTTGTGCATGCCCAAAATGCCAAGAGGAGAATGGAGAGGGGACTGCAGCACGGCCCCTGGGGCTTTCCCCTTCCTCCCCCTCTCCAGTGAGTGCACGTACCCTACGGCAGGAAAACGGACACAGCTCACCTACACACTACGCCGGGTCAGGGCCGTAGGATTTCGTAACTGGATGCAGAACCCCTGTGGGGGTCTCTTACCGTCTCCCTGGGCCCTGCTGCCAGTCCCTGGATGGGGAAGGGCCGAGGCCAATGTTCTGGCCCCCTGGCCTTCACCCCGTGCCTGGCTTTCTCTGGGACTGCCTCCTGGCATGGGCAAGCCCATGCTGCCACAGGGACACGTGCAGGGCACGGGCCTCGGCACACAGCTTGTCCTCTGCTGCTGACCACCCTCCTCTGCCCTCCCGCACTGGCTGCCCTCACGCTGCAGCTGCCGTGCCGAGTCCCCTGACCCAGCATGGCGCCTGGCGGGCTGTACACGCCATGGGAGCGCCTCTCCGTGGTGGGCATGGCGTGTACTCATGGCAGAGGCCTCCTGCGAGGGTGGCTGGAGCCCCGGGGTGCCAGCGAGCCTCCTAGACACCCCCCTCTGGTCTTAGTAAGTTCTTGCCTTCCTGTCATCGCTGTTCTACCCTAGCTTGTCTGTCCCAAGTAAGGATTCTTTCAAGAACGGGTACTGACACCTGGCCCAAGCCTGCAGTGCTGAGAAAACCCCGTAAGGGTACCTCACTCAGGCACTCCCCCTTTCCTGCCCCCCCTTCTAGAAAGAGAGAAGAAACAGTGATCATTGTTCCTCATAAAAGCTCTTAAAATTTGTCATTATTTAAATTTTATTGCATTGTTTAAATTTGACCAGAAAGAGAAAACAAGCCACCACGTCCAGGACTCGAACTGTGGTCAGCCATGTCGCAGTCCAGCACCCGTAACCACCATGCCACCTGCGGGTCCCCAGGTAGTGTGGTGTTTAAGGGCTCTGCACTTCCATGACCGACTACAGCTCAAATCCCGAACCTGGCCGCTTGCTTTCTCTCTCTCTCATCCTGTCCCTCTCTGGTCAAACTGAAATAAATAGACCTTTAAAGCTGCTAGGAACTTTGGTCGTAATCTGAATCACATGGGCCCTCCCGTGAGTGGCAGTGGCCCTCTGAGGCCACGTAGGTATCAGCTAGGCCTGCCCCTGAGCTGTTGTGACAGCCATGCCTCCCACGGCCCCGCTGGCGGGACCAGAAGAGGCCCACAGGAAACCTCATTCTGCACCTCACCGTCCCGGGGTCAAGGGCCAGCCCCGGGCTCAGACCCCATGTCGCCCGTGTCCAGCCAGCCCGCAGTCCGTGTGCCGGGGCGAGGAGGGCTCGGGGAGCTCAGCTCCAGAGCACACACAGGGTGCCCAGCAGACACAAGGAGGCCTAGGCCCCAGAGCCCATGCCTGCTGCAGAGAGGCCTTTTCCCTGGCTGACCTGCACACTCGGGGGGTACCTGTGGGAGTCAGTGAGTGGGACAGTCCTGCTGTGGACTGACGAGTGGCCGTCACCTCGGCCCCGGGCCTGTGAGTAACCGCCGCCCCTGTGCCCAGGCCTACAAGTACCTGGAGGAGATGCGGAAGAGGCTCCCCCCCGCCAGCGTGGTGTGCTATGTGAGCCAGCGGACCATAGACGCCGTGCACCGGGGCCTGGGCCTCCCTCTGACCCGCGTCGGGCCCGAGCAGGTGCACCACCGCAGTGTGGAGGACCACAGGGAGGTGGGCGAGGAGCTGGTGGAGGAGGTGGAAGACGAGCCCTGAGGGCTGCACCCCCGTCGCCCACAGCAAGAGATCTTGTGGGTGGGAAAAGGACTAGGGTCTACAGGCAGAGCTGGGCAGGGTGCAGGGCCCAGCAGTCAGCCCTGTTCACACCTGTGCCCCCAACCACGTTCCTGCCTAGACACTGGCCTCGTGCCTTTAGCGAGCTGGTGGTCTTTCCTAAGCCCCTCCGAACTGCAGGCCTCGGGAACCTTCAGGAATGAGGGGCCACTGTCCTGTCCCTGTGGCCTCTTCCTGTGCTCCTGGATGTTCACTAGCCGGTTCCCGCAAGGCCCCATTCCTGCCAGGGCTCCGACAGCCCCAGTAGTGTCACCGCACAGGTGGGCCAGGCCCCACCCAAGGAGCCAGTACTCTGACTGGTGATGGCAATAAAGCCTACTTGGTGAGACTGTGAGACAGTGAGACGGCGAGACATCTGCTTCACACGCAGAGCCACGGGGAAGCACTGGGCCGAGCCCTGCGGCTCCTTTTATTCCCACAGATGCCCCCGCCTGGGCTGTCCCCACACCTCCACAGTGGCCCCTGAAGTCCCTCTGGGCAAGCCAAGTGCCCTCAGGTGTTTTAGCAGTAGTCTCAGAGGTGACGGGCTCCAAGCAGCAGCTTCCTCTATCTGCACACACAGCTCTCACGCATCACACGTGCCTGCACACGCAGCACCCGCACACAGTGCCGAAAGGCTTCATGGAGCCAGGCAACACTGGCTCACTCAGGCCCAGGGCTGCGGCCTCCTGCCCAGGCAGGACCAGACTGTGGGAGGTGGGAGGAGCTGTCCTTGAGTCCTTCCAGCAGCAGCAGAGCCCTCAGGGCCGGCTCCCGGGCAGGACCAGACTGTGGGGAGGTGGGAGGAGCCTGTCCTTGAGTCCTTCCAGCAGCAGCAGAGCCCTCAGGGCCAGCTCCCGGCAGCCCTCATCAGGGTCCCGCTCGGCCTCGTCTGTGAAGAACAGGACCGTGTGAGCTGCAGCCAGCGTGTCAGTCCCCCACTGGCTCCTCCGCGCCGCAGTGGGCCCAGCTGGACCACGCGCTCAGGACGAGACAAGACCTGGGGGCACCAGCACCCACCTGGGATAAAGCCAGCCTGCCCCTTGCCTTCCCCAAAGGCAGCCTGGGCCTGGTGCACCCCTCCGCTGCCGAGCCTGTCCCTCTCCGGAGCCTGTGGAGGCCCCTCCGCTGACAGCAGCGTCAGGGGACACTGTGGTGTGGAGGGGCAGACACAGCTGCCTGAGCTTGGTGAGCATCGGCTCTGTGGCCAAGCAGGCACGGAGATCCCAGGGGCTCACAAAGAGCCACCTACCCTCTGAGACCACCTCCTCAGCATCTCCCAGCCCTTCCAGGACTGGGCTGCAACTAGAGCCGTCCTAGGACCCCTGGACATGCGAGGAGGGGCGCCTGCAACAGGGACCGTCGCCAGATGCCCTACACCAGCAGGGGCTGCCCTGACTGCAGGAACAAGGCCCCGAGGCCCGCAGGCCACCCTGGGCTTCTGTCCCCACAGAACTGCGGTGCGAGTCCCTGCACATGGCTCTGGGGCCCTGCTGCTGAGGGGGCCTGAGGACAGGGCAGCTCTGGGCTGTGGGCCCTGGGCCTTGGGGCCCTCTACCTATGCAGCATCCAGGTGGTCACGGGCTGGAGCTCAGGTCCACCTCAAGCACCAGGGCAAAGGTCACCACGCAGAGAACACGCAGCAGGAGTGAGATCTGGCCAAGGGGTGCACTTACCACAGGAGCCCAGAACTTCCTGGCCCAGTCCCCTCCCTAGGAGCACAGTCCTGCGGGAGCCCCGAGTGGCCCACCCCCGCTCCCACCTGAGGCCACGACCCACCTGCCAGCCAGGACCGGGCCTCCAGCAGCTCATCTGGCAGGTCCCCGAGCAGCTGCCCGGCAGGTACACTGAGTAGGACAGCAGAGACGGCAGACAGCAGGCCGCGGCGCACATAGCTACGTGGTGGGGAGGGGTGCGTGGCCCGTGGTCAGCGTTGGGACAGTGGGCAGGGTCCATCCTCCGAGCACAGGCGACCCACTGTACTAGCACGCCTCGCCTGGCTCTGGCCGCATGGATCCTGTCTGGGAAGTGCCTGGCCAGGCCACAACCTATGCAGCCCCGAGGCTGGCTCTGGCGCCCACAGGCTGCATCCCTCCGCCCCACCTGCCGTCGGGTCACTCACGCGTCAGTATGGAAGCGAAGGGCCCACACGAACTCCAGCAGGGCTTTGCCCATGGACACGGCCACCTGCCGGCCAGCAGAGACAGTGAGCGGGACGCACCGCCTGAAGTGGGGCTGAGCTGACAGCTGAGGGGCCTTCCTGCCCTGCCACGGGTCACGGCTGCCCCAGCCCATGCCCACAGGCAGGCAGGCAGGCATACAGGGCCGCCCCACCCTCCACTGCGTGGACGCCGAGTGAGGGGCCTCGTCCCAACTCACTGTGGTGTTCACAGCCAGGTACATCAGGGCTCCTAAGGTGTGGGTCAGTCTTCCAAGAACCAGCTGGTCATCTCCCAACAGGTCAAAGGTCATGAGAGGCCTGCAACATAGGATCCAGTGACTGGCACGGCCTGGGCACCACAGGGCCAGCTCCCAACTGCACGGCAACTGAGGGAGACCCCAAGCCCCAGACACTCTGCAGAGCCCCACCCACATATGCTGCCTGCCCCCACGTGGCACCCAAGACACACAGGGACAAGGCACGCCGGAGCCCCGAGGCTGGCCAGGTCGTGACCACACAACCGAGGGCCCTCTGCCGAGCCCTGGCCCAGCTGACCCCCTCCGCTGTCCACGGGGCCGGGGCCTGATGTGCGGTGGGAGCCCTGCTCCGCTTGTAGCAGTAGGCGGCGAGCAAGCCGCAGGCAGTGCAGGGCAGTGCCCGTGGCGTGTGCATGCCGCCACCTGCCAGAGCCCAGACAGCTGGGAACAGCACACCTCACCAAAGCCCAGCTTGAGGGCAAAGAAAGCTTTCCAGGACATCTGGATGTTTAACGAGAGCTCTTTTTATTTTAAGACCTGGATTCACATCCAAGGCCCATGACTTTTTTTTTTTTTTTTGGAGAGGTTTTTGCTATAGGGCGCGCTCGCCAGAGAGACAGAGACAGAAAGCAAAAAATCACCCCCCAGGGGGGGATGGCCACACCACAATCCCTTCTCCTCCATTCTCCTCGGGATCCTGGGCACGCACACACACACCTGATGTCAGTTTAAGCCACCGGGTCCAGGACTCAAACTGTGGTCGACTAACGTGGGAGTCCAGCGACATAGCCATTACCCTAACTGCTGGTCCCTAACGTGAGCTCTTAAACACTGCAGCAAAGACCTTGTTCTCACCCAAGGCCCCCAGCCCCGTCCCGGGAAGCTTCTGGTCAGCAGGGGCAGGTGGCCCGCCCCTCACACCCACAGGCCTCTCCCCGCTCACCTGTCAAAGCGCTGCAGGAGCGGGAAGAAGAAGTGGCCGGCCACAGCACTGAACTCATTTGGGCCACCTGCCGGGGCTGGCCGGGAAGGGCCCTGCAAACAGTGTGGCAGTGGTGCAAGGCCTGGTGCTGCTACGGCCCGTCCCAGTGCAAGCCAGCCTACCAGCTGCACGGAGCCCAGGCAGGGCCCCGACCTCCACTCAGGACGTGGGCTGACAGGCCTCTACACCACCCGCTCAGGCCCAGGCCCAGCCCCACCCCGTCTCACACCCAGGCCACAGCAGGGACCCGGCGGCACCATGCGCTCTGCCCGCCCTCCCCAGGCTTCTGCCGAGTGCCGTGCAAGGGCAGGCTCCGGTCCTGGCTGACCTTGGAGAAACGCCGGGTCTTGCTTCTGATCCGCTCCTCCACGACAACCCGCCAGTCGGGTGCTGCGGTGCTGCCAGGCTGCGAGGTGGCCCGTGCAGGTGAGCACAGGAAGCCAGGGCCGGGACTGCCGTGTCGGAGAGCCCTCCTGGAGCGCCCAGGCCGGGACAGTTCCTGGGCAGCCAGGGTCAGCACCTGGAGGGAAGCAAGGCCGGGCAGCCGCTGCCCACAGAGGAGCCGTGCCCAGCACTGAGGGCGGGCAGCAGAGATGACCGCGACTCATGGCCCAGCCCCGAGGCCAGCTGCACTGTGGACACCCTCGGGGCTCAGCCTTCACCAACACTTTGCTGCCCAGGGTACCAGCCCCGGAACACTCTCCTACACTCTAGGACAGACACAGCCACCAGCCAAGAGCAGGCTGGCAGTGACGGGGCTGGGGCACGGTGACCTCCAGGCACATGGGCTGTTCTAGTGAGGGGCATTCTGCGGCTGGCTGTGGGGGCTGATGACACTGCTGTACCCCGATGTGGCTGCTCGGGCATCTCAGCCCTCGGAGTCTGACTGCGGCAACACGCGGGTCTAGCAGTGCCATCTCTTTTTTTTTTTTAAGAGGTTTTTGCGATAGGGCTCATGCACTCGCCAGGCAGAGAGACACAGAGACAGAAAACGAGCAATCACCACCCAGGGGGGATGGCCACGCCGCAATCCCTTCTCCTCCATTCTCTTGGGATCTTGGGCACGCACGCACACGCGCCTCCCAGTGTGAGTTTAAGCCACCGGGCCCAGGACTCAAACCACGGTCGACTACATGGGAGCCCAGCGACATAGCCATTATGCCAACTGCTGGTCCCGGCACTGCAATCCTCAGGCTGGCCCCATGGCCTAGTGGTTAAGGGAGTTGGATCCCACCTGGCCAACTGCAGTTCGCAGCACATGCTGGGCCCAAGACCCCAACAGCATGGAGAAGTGACCACGCCCCAGAGGGGTGCATTCCCCCTGCCTCTGCAACAAGTGCATGTGGCCCCTGGTAAACTGAAAAAGCATCTTTTGGGGCCAACAGATGGCATGGTGGTTACATCGCTGGACTCCCACATGGCTGGCCACAGTTTGTGTCCTGGACCAGGTGGCTGCAAACACACCAGGTGTGCGTGCGTGTGCAAGTATGCCCAAGATCCTGGGGAGAGGACAGAGAAAGGACTGAGGTGTGGCCGTCCCCCGGGGGGTGATTTCTCACATTCCCTCTTGCTGTTTTATCTGTCTCTAGTAATTGTATGTGCCCCTAGGCGAAGCCCTATTAAAAAAGGCAGGACCAGCAGATGGCATAATAGTTACGTCACTGTGGCTGGGTCCCAAACTCGGCAGCGCGAAACTCACAGCAGGCGTGTGTCCACACACACCCAAAATCCTGAACAGGGAATAAGAAGGGACCGTGGCGTGGCCCCACCCTCGGAGGTGATTCACTTTCTGTCTCTCCAGCAAGCACATGCACCCTATAGCAAAAATCTTTTTTTTTTTAATTATTTTTTTTTTAAGAATTATCGTATTTAACTTTATTTATTTAAATTTTACCAGAGACAGAGCGAGAGAGAGAGAAAGTGGGAAAGCAAGCTGCCAGGTCCGGGATTCAAACCGCGGTCGGCCATATGGGAGTCCAGTGCCCTTAACTATCACACCACCTGCTGGCCCCACAAAAAATACCTTTAACATTTTGTTAAGAAAGGATTTTTCCTCGCTCAGGTTACAGCACACGCATGGGCACGTGCGAGGGCAGGGGCACCCGCCGCAGGTCCCTTCCTCCAGCCCTCTGGATCGCGAGCCCTCACATGCGTGCCCGGTGTCTCAGGCTGAGCAGGCCAGAGATCTGAGCGGTGGTCCCTACGTGGCTGGCTTCAGTCCTGCAGCTCGGCCACGACCACTGGTGCCCCACGCCTGGGCCATGTCCGCCGTGTGCGGTCCCGGGGCAGTCATTCGGTCTCATTAGCGTGTGACCGTCACCACCGTCCATTTTCAGAACGTCCAACTTTCCCAAACGGAAACTGTCCCCGTCAGGCACGAAGTCCTGCCCCTCCTCCCTCGGCTGATGCCCACGCTCTGCCGTCCTTGCCGGCCGCCCGGATGTTTTGTTCCAGGGTGACCTGACAGCCCTTGGGCCTGTCTGAATGTGCTCAGCGGGTCCAGGACTGTGCGGAGAGCCCACGTTCTACTGTTCCTAAGCTGGTGACTTCTGGTGTCCAGATGACATCAGCAAGGCTGTGACTCCAAGTGAGCCTGGCTGCAGAGCCCCCCACGGCGGGGCCCTGCAGTCACATGACCAAGAAAACAGCAGCAGAAGCCAGCCCAGCCTCAGGAAGCCTGAGGCCACTGCACTGTCCACATGGCGCTGGCCTCTGCACAAGGGGGCGGGGACGGGCCGCACTCACGTCCAGGATGTCCATGCGCTGCCGGAGGCTATAGTTCAGGGCGTAGAACTGCGAGGTCAGGTATGCGGCCACCTGGACAGGCAAAGGGAGATGTTGCAGCCTGGGCCACTGCCCGGCTGGCCCGGCAGGTTGGGGCTGAGGGCTGCAGCTTGGCGTTTCTGCAGCAGCTGTGCTGCCAGGGCCACCGTGCTGAGACTCACCCGGGCTGGGTCCACGACCGTGACGGCCACCAGCGCTCTCTGGCGTAGCTCCTCAAACCCTGCCACGCACACCCTCTCCTCCAGGTGTAGCAGCACCTTGGCCAGCTCCACGCTCACCTGCAGACCAGGGCCGGGGTCAGCGCGGTCGCCCGGCATGGGGCTGGGAGTCACCACCCCACGACCCAGCACGCAGACCTGGCCTTCCTGACCCCTCCAGCCCGCCGACCCACTCACCTCCTGAGCGGCCACAGGGCTCCTGCAGACCAGGCCCTCGAGTGCCCGCAGGGCGGCCTCCCAGCACTCCCCGTCCTCCGACGAGCTCAGGGCTGCCCAGAACCGACAGGCCTCGGTCAACAGGAGAGCCAGGGCGGCCACCGCGGCCCCAGCAGCGCGGCCCGGGCCCACTGTGTCAAGGCCCGCCCACCCACCTTCCACGCAGTCGCGGATGTACACGGGCGCCTTGCCGCTCTTCAGCTCTCTATCCCCCGACATGTCATAGGGGACGAGCTCGTCGTCACTGCCGAGAAAACGAGACGCCACCTGCCACCCAGCAAGAGCCTACCGCTCCCCTCGCTGCCTGCCCTGTGGCCTTCAGAAAAGGCTGCCGGGCTGAGGCTCAGAGTGGCCCGAGAACCTGAGAGTACCCGCCCACAGACCCGCCCGAAAGCACTGAGCACAGGCGTGGGCGTGGGTGTGGGCCTGAGTGGCCACACAGGACACACGCCTCACGATGCATGGCCGCAGAGACCCCCACACGGGACACATGCCAGCAGGCAACTCCGACACCAGTGTTCTCCCCAGCCTCACCTATCCAGGTCCGAGCCAGAGCCCTCTAGTCCTGCCTGGGGCGCACCACGCTCTGAGGCCTCTGTCAGGGTTTCTGCAGCACCTGGAGCCAGGGACGGGCTTCAGACAACAGGGGACATGCCCTCAGGGGTCGCCCTGTGAGTCCCCGCCTGAGCACTGCACGTCCTGAGGCTCTGGACCCCACCCACGGCCTCAGCAGGGAGGACTGGGACACAGGGAGGACCGAGACGCAGGGAAGACCAAGACGCAGTGATGCAGGGAGGACCGGGACGCAGGGAGGACTGAAATGCAGGGAGGACCGGGACGCAGGGAGGACCGGGACGCACGGAGGACTGAAATGCAGGGAGGACCGGGATGCAGGGAGGACTGAGATGCAGGGAGGACTGGGATGCAGGGAGGACCGGGAAGCAGGGAGGACTGGGACGCAGGGAGGACCGGGATGCAGGGAGGACTGGGATGCAGGGAGGACTGGGACGCAGGGTGAGGGTATACAGAGCCTTACCTGGCCTCGGGGGAGCCGTGGCCCACAGAGCGGGGAGCGGCCAGGGCCAGCAGCTCCCGGCTCAGCCCGTCCTCCTCGTACTGTAAGTGCAGACAGGTCAGCCTCCAGCCGGGGTGGGGGCGTCCCTCACAGCCCAGCGTCACCCAGCAGCCTGGCCTAAGACAGCTGGCCTCTCAGAAACATGCTCCCAGGGCCCACCTGGGGCCGAGGTGGTGCCATGAAGGAAGGAGCGTGGACCCCGGCACATAGCCCAAGGACGCCTGGGGCTCAGAGGTGGGGTGGCCTCGCTAGCTGTGAGTAGCCCCGCCATCCCGCCCGACCAGGGCCCTGATGGCAGGCAATGCTGTCTACACTGCAAATGCAGCTGATTCCCATCTAGAGCAGGGGTCTGTGCCAGGGAGCAGCTGCTTGGGCACTCCACCAGACCCCGTGTGGTCCCAGCAACTGGGGCTCCACCTGCCACCCCCACGTCTTGGTCTTCTGTGTGACCAGTGTGGGACACGCCACGGGCCTGGGACCTGGAAGGTGGAACGGTGCCGGGCTGCAGCGAGCTGCTCACCTGGAACCTCAGTGGTGGCCCCTCGGGGTGGAGCCGGGAGCTGAGGACCTCGGCCACAACCATGCCCAGGCGGCGCACAGGGGGCAGGCTGCTGTCCAGCCGGCACTTCACGCCCGCCATCATACTGGCCAGCAGTTCTAGAAGAGCAGACGCGCACCTGAGCATGGCACGCGGGCACACGGCACGCCGGCACGCAGCCCGCGGCGGCACGCTGCCTACTCACCCTCCCGGCTGTCCTGCAGCTCCGCCTCCTCCAGGTGCGCCAGGCAGATGAGCACGGCCTTGCTCACGTGGCACTGCTGCGGCAGGGGCGTGTGTCGGATGGCGCTGCTGCTGCCCCACGCCTCCAAGAGCTCCCTCAGCACCTGGCGGGCGGCACCCCGGTCAGGTCAGTGGCGCCCCCACACCCCGCGCCAGAGGGCGGGCCCCGCACAGCCCCCGGCACGCAGGGACAGGCAGCACCGTACCTGCAGCAGGAGTGGGCGCCGCTGGCTGGGGGCGGCCAAGGAGTCCCGCAGGGTCTGCAGCATGAGCGTCTGCAATGGAGGCCGAGGTCCTGGGTCCAGGCAGAGGCCACCACAGGGCCCCGGCGGGCCCGCGCCTGCCCCCCCAAATCCTGGGCCCAGCGCTCCCGCGGCCCTCGGGCACACTCTGTGCTGTGCAGAGAGAGCTGGCCAGAGCTCTGCGAGGGAAGGTTCTCGTGTCTTCCCAGGTTCCAAACTCCCAGTCACAAGGCCTTCATGGCACCTGACTTCCTGGGCTCCTTGCCAGGAGCACCCGGCGGGGACCAGAACCTTCACAACCCACTTCTGGTCCCACCTCTCCTTCCAATGCACACTGGTTTCTGGCTGTAACTCCGGCTCCACCAAACAAGCACACACACCCCCCACAGGCTTGCTGGGGGACACCCAAGACTACCTGGAGTCGCAGGCCTGCCCCTTCAGGGTACATGGCTGCTCTGCTCACCCACAGCACCTGTGTCTCTGGGGCCCACCAGCACATGGCACGCCCCACACCGGCCTTAACAGGCTTTCGTGTGGTAGCTGCCTCCCTCACTGTCATGTAAAAGCAAGGGGAAAAACCGTGCTCTTCTGGCCACGTGGGTGCTCCACACCCCAAAAAGTCTGCACGTGATAGTCAACGACCACGTGCCACAGGAAAAGCTGGAGTGAGCTGCAGCACATGCCTAACCCCGTCTACCTCGACACCCACGGCAGGCCCTCCACACAGCCCCAGGCCTGTCCTGCACACGCTGTCGTGCCCAGCCCAGTGCCCGGCCCGGCCTCCACGCCAAGTCAGCCCCTCCAAGGGATGCGGTGGACTGCCAGAGCCGGCCCAGAAGGTCCACCAATGGAGGGCATGCACTGAGTCTTTCGCGCGGCTGCTGGGACCTGGAACATTACCTCAGCAGCTGACCCCCGCCCAGGCCCACTGTCCACACCGACCTCCCTCCAGTCCGTGCCCCATCCAGCCCGCACACTGACCCCTGCCCAGGCCCACCATCTGCAGCGACCTCCCTCTGGCCCGTGCCCACCTGGCCTACACACTGACCCCCGGGCCCGTGCCTGCCCGGCCTTCCGCTCACCGTGCACTGGTGCTGTAGGAGCAGCAGCTTCCGAGCCATCAGGAACTGGGCTTTCTTGTTCTTCACTGCCAAGTCTCCCAGCAACCTCGACAGCACTTCGGGCCTGTAAGGCAGAGTCACTGGTCAGCCTCAGTGACGGAAGAGGGGAGGGAAGAGCCGACGCCGATGCCGACAGGCTTGGGTGAACCAGGTCCTGCCATCCAGGAGCGTGAGCCTCGGACATGTCCTCTGGACAGCGCCAGTCAGTCCCCTCCTGCCAGGCCTGAGGCAGGGAGAGCCTAGTCCCACGCCTGAGCCAAGGGGGTTGACAGCATGGCGACCCTTCCCAGCTTGACCTTGACCAAGCCCAAAATTAGAAGCTGCACCTAGAGACCAGCCGATGGCAGAGCAGTTACACCACTCACCTCCCACACTGACTGCGGTTCAAGTCCTGGACCCAGTGGCTTGAAAAACACACAGTGCGTGTGTGTGTGCATGCCCAGGGTCCCGGGAGAGAACAGAGGAGGGACTGTGGCATGGCCATCCCTCAGGAGTGATTTCTCTCTTTACCTCTCCACGTCTC